TCAAAACAAAGATTCCATCTGCGAGATGCTTGTTTTAATCCATAAATGGATTTCTCAAGCTTGCATACTCTATTTGGATGCTTCGCATCGACAAAACCCTCTGGCTGATTCATGTAGACATCCTTAGCTAACTTTCCATTAAGGAAAGCGGTTTTCACATCCATCTGCCATATTTCATAATCATGAAATGCAGCTATGGCAAGCATCACCCTAATAGACTTTATCTTCGCAACTAGTGAGAAGGTCTCATCATAGTCAATTCCGGGAGTTTGAGTAAATCCCTTCGCAACCAATCATGCTTTATAAGTATGCACTTTCCCATCCATGTCCGTCTTCTTCTTGAAGATCCACTTGCACCCGACTGTCTTACGACCCGGTACATTATCAACCAAATTCCAAACTTGGTTGTCGTACATGGAGTGAATCTCGCTGTCCATAGCCTCTTTCCATTTTGCAGACTCCGGGCCTGCCATGGCTTCCTTATAGCTGCTAGGTTCATCCAAATTTACTAGTGTACTATCACTAATAAATATATCCCCTTCAGTAGTAATATGAAAACCATAAAACTAGGGTGGAACACTAGCCCTAGTGGAACGTCGAAGAGGTAAGGACTCGTCAACAGGTTCAACAGGAGTTTCCTCCTCATGTTGAGTGTCAGTGTCAGAGGTTCCTTCATCGCTTTGATCTTGAATTGCTTCAAGTTCAATTTCCCTCCCACTGTCTTCTTGGCCTATTAATTCCCTTTCTCGGAAAACTCCTCTTCTAGCAACGAAGACAACATTGTCACTCGGTCTATAGAAAAGGTATCCAAAAGACTTCTGCGGATAGCCGATGAAATAACACTTCTCACTACGAGGTTCTAGTTTGTCGTGAGTCTCTCGTCTTAAGAAAGCCTCGCAACCCCAAACCTTGATATGTGCCAACGAGGGAGCCTTCCCCGTCCATATCTCGTGAGGAGTCTTGGAAACCTTCTTGGTGGGAACTAAGTTAAGTATGTGGGCGGCAGTCTCTAAGGAATACCCCCAGAAAGCTATTGGTAACGAATCCGACTCATCATAGAACGAACCATGTCCAACAAGGTCCAATTACATCTCTCAGCCACACCATTCAATTGTGGCGTCCTCGGAGGCGTTAATTGAGAAACGATACCGCATTCTTTTAGATAGTCGTGAAACTCAAGACTTAGGTACTCTCCTCCTCGGTCTGGATTTTCCTAGCCATCTGATTCTTCACTTCGTTCTTAAAGTCTTTGAACTTTTCAAAGGTTTTTGACTTTTGCTTGATCAAGTAGATATATCCATATCTGCTATAATCATCTGTAAAAGTCACGTACAAGCGGCAAGCATCCCTTGTGGTGGATCTAAAGTGCCCACACACATCGGTGTGTATGAGATCCAATAAACCCTCACCCGTTTCACAAGTGCCAGTAAAGGGTGACTTGGTCATCTTCCCAAGTAAACAAGACTCACACGTGTCATCATCCCTAAGGTCGAATGACTCCAACACTCCATCCTTTTGGAGTTGGGCTATGCGTTTCTTGTTGACATGTCCAAGGCGACAATGCCACAAGCATGTTTTTTCTAGACTAGTAGACGAATCAATATTCAAAACATTATTTCCAAAATTATCAACAATCATCACAGATTCATAAATCCCATTACAAGGTAATGCATTGAAATAAAAGACACCATTCAAATAAACGTTAATAGAACCATTACTATTATCAAAAGAATATCTGAAACCTTGTCTAAACAACCCGTGAAAAGAAATAATGTTTCTTGCCATATCTGGCAAATAACAACAATTCTCTAAATCTATTCCTAACCCATTACTCAACACTAAAGAATAAACACCGACTTTGGTCACAGGCGACGATCTTCTGTTTCCCATAGTCAAGTTCATCTTACCATGTTTCATCTCCCTACTTCTTTTTAGGCTCTGCATATCAGAACAAATGTGGTAACAACACCCTGTATCAAGAACCCATGAAGTAGCAAATGATGAGTTATTAGATTTAGTATAATACATACCTGCAAATGTGGGCTTGATCTTCCCATCTCTTATGTCCTGCAGATATTGTGGGCAGCTTTGCTTCCAGTGGGCCTTTTGGTGGAAATAGAAGCACTCTGCTTCTTTTGGATTGGAAGACGGTTTAGCAGGGCCAACATTGGTCCCACTTGAGGACGAACCATCATGGGGTTTCCCTTTATGGTGGCTCTTACATGGAGCCTTCCTCTTTTTACCCTTTCCTTGACCTATCGCCATCACAGGAGCGGCCACAGAAGGGGACGGTGAAACGGATTTGTCTTTGAGGTTGCTCTCAGCAGTCCTCAAGAGTCCTTGGAGCTTGCTCAAGGAGACCTCCTCTTTGTTCATATGGTAGGTCATCCTAAACTGATTGTAGCAGGAGGGCAAGGAGTGGAGGATTATGTCGATAGCCAAATCCTCATCAAACTTAACATTAAGTTTGAGAGGACGATCAACATACCACTGCATTTTCTGCAAATGAGAGGTTAGGGATTCTTCACTCCCCATCTTAGCGGTGATCATGTTAGTAATGATCTCATAGCGCTCTTGCCTCGCACTCTGGTGATACCTGTCCAGCAAATCCTAATGCATTTCATATGGATACATGTCCTCATAGGACTTTTGGATTTCGAGGTTCATGGTGGCTAGCATGATGTAATGAACTTTCGTGGCATCACGCTCGTGGGCCTCAAAGGCGGCCAATTCCTCAGGAGTAGCAACATCTGGGATGATCTTATCAAGCTTTTCATCGAGGACATATTCCTTGTCCTCGTAGCATGTGATCATGCGAATATACCTCATCCACTCATTGAAGTTTGAACCATCAAATGTCACTTTCTGACACAAGTTCATCAACGAGAATGACCCAGAATCGTTGTTGTTGTTGTTGTTGTTGTTCGCAGACATCTGAAAAAGAAGGGAAGAAAGTTTGATTAGAAATGAATCCCTAATTAAACACCCAAATGAGAAATTAGGGCTAGGATCCAACAACATTATTTACAACTTAGAAAGGGATGGCGTACTCTAAAAGTAAATAATTTGAAGGTAAGTGAATGACGATTCACTAATTCTCACCATGAAAAACGAAAAAGCAATTTAGGTTTTAAATGTATTGAAAACTCCTAGATCTTTGAGATTCATTGAACTTTTCAATGGCATGTTTAAATCTCGATATGCATTTCAAATTTGCGACTGGGATGCCGAGGATCGCAAACAAATTTGTGAATAACCATGCAAATCAACGTGGTGTACTCAATGTCTTTATCACCTAATCAATGTGCCGGTAAACCACACACGCTCCATTGATCTATGACAAACATCAAGTCACCCTTCGCTACTAATGTCATACCCAAATTGATGTGCTGGTTAACCACACGCGCTCCATCAACGTTTGACAAGGGTACGAAGTGTAATTCCATGGATTAGCATCATTTTCACATTTTACCCTAAAGTAACTAGGATTGGGAATTTGTAAAACATGTAGTTACTTTATAATTAACATTATACTTTTAATAAGGAGAGGGTTGCCCTATCCTACCCGTTCGAGTAACGACCCTCCACCAGTCAAGCAAGCGGTAGGTGTGAATGTACAACCATTAAGCGCCATTTTATAGGCAACAACCTTATACCCACCTTATAGACCGGCTTCGTGAATGAGGCCTACTAACAGTAAGACTAGCATTTTTAAGTTATACATACATACATATATATATATATATATATATATATATATATATATATATATATATATATATTAATTAACCTTGTAATAATATATAATAGTATAGGGTTGAATTTTAAACTTGTAATAATATATTTTGAGCTGGAGATGTACACATTTTCATTAATTCCAACCCTAACCCTAACTCTGGTTTTCCTTTGTAATCAGGAAGCTGAAGGTCCAAAATGCAAGTTCTTTATGTGGAAAGACAAAGAAATGGAGGAGGGTTACTACAAAGAATAGCTTCGCAAGATGAGGTTTGAGTTGAAAAGGAAAGAAGAGTTTAGTGAAGTTTCAAAGGTTCAAAAGAAGTTGGTTAAGCTACAGCAAGCTATGGAAGCATATAAGCAAGTGTTTGAGACACAGTTGATGGAGTTGACGAAGCAAAATAGAATGTTGAAGTGTGGGATCTTTGTTATGGTAATTGTAGTCATTGCCATGTGGTTGAAATGGACTTGAATTGTGATCAAATAGGTGTTTATGGTTGATGGTATATAATTCCATCCAGTTTTTTGGAAAGTGTATGGGTGGATGTTAAAAAGTTATTAGCTTTTTTGGGAAGTGTATGGGTGTATGGGTACATGGTCAAGGTTAGATCCTAGTTGTAATGTATAGTCAGGTTTTTGGTTGAATGCTTGTTTGATCAGTGTGTGTATGGGATGTTAGATGTAATGGCATGTAGATGTAATGGAATGTAGATGTAATGGGATGGCAGTACATGGGAACAATTGTAATGACTTTGTGTTGATTCAATGAGTGATATGGAATATGCTAGTTAAGATATACCTTTCTGAATTTTATAATATGCATGTGCTCCTTTTATAAATTAAAGTGTGGGTAGCACATTGTCGGCCATAAGGAACTCACTTTGTCCATTTAAAAGTGGATTGTCTTTAGAGTTCTGTGTAGGGGTATATATGGAAAAGTATGGGTATACGGACCACTGACCACATGTGGTATATAAGGACATAATCAATCATAATTTTAAATTATCTATATACGCAAATATATTCCCTTCCCATGCAGTTTAACCAGACAAGTCCTTGCCATGCATGCAACTTCAAATTAACACAACAAAAAGCTCAAAATAACAATCAACTTAAGTAACACAAAATGCACATCACATAAACCAACATAGTTTCATACAAACTAGCATAGTTAATAGCAGTTTCATAAAAACAACAACAATACACCAAAACACATCATTTAACACTACATACCATGTTCATATCACATAAACCAACAGTTAAAGTTATTCTAGAGTAACAAGTTTAGCTTCTGAATTCCCAGGTGCATCATTTCCACCAACTTTCTTGCCCAGTTTCAACTTGATAATCCTTTCAGATTTCTTCCTCCTGATTTTCTTCAACAGGGTTGCAAGTGGTGTTTCTCTAGCCTCCTGTTCTTGCGCATGAACCTGACTAGGTTCTCCATTAGCTGATGCATCAAACTCCAAAGGAGTGAGTTCCACCTCATCATAGTCTTGTTTCACATGCACCTCATTGACTGCTTCTGCACCATCATTTACTGCTCCTCCATCATTGACTGCTTCTCCACCATGAGTTACCGCTCCTCCATCATTGACTGCTTCTCCACCATCATTTACTACTCCTCCATCATTGACTGCATTAGATTCATTACTTTCATCCTCATTGAGAGCTTCAGCTACACCCTGATTAACCAATATGAAACATTATTAGAAATTTAAAAAGAAATTGTAAAGATTAACCATTTAAATACTTATGTACCTGTTTTGTTTTTCTTTTAGCTTTGGTTTTAGGAGGCCTTGTTAAAGTACAAGCTCTTTTGTTGTGTCCTTCAATCTTAGAAAGACTACATTTTTGTTTTTTACCAGCCTTGGATACCTTCACCTGCTCCTTACCTTTGTTTTGTGTTTGGGTAGTTGTCTTTGATTTTTTACTTGACTGGTTTGTGGTTTCTATTGCATCCCTTTTGCTTTTAGTTGCAGGTCTCCCAGGCATAGCTCTACGAACAGGAGGTAAAGGTGGGGTGTAATCAGTTGCAGGCCACAAATTACTTCCATTCATAGGTGCTAACCTAAACTTGTAAGCCTTCATATAAGTGATGCTACTAAACATTTTGTCCACATATGAATCTACATCCCTATTCATAAAACTAATAGCTGCAACAGAATGGACACAACCGATTCCATTAAGTTGCCATATCCTGCATGAGCAAGTTCTTTCTTCAAGATCCACATCATAAGCATCTGTAGTTCCTCTTACTTCAAACTGATTTAGTCCACTAGGTAAGACATGGTAATGTCTTAGACCCTTCTTAATGTCATTCATTATTTCTCTAATTGTTGGACAAATTTGGTTGCCCCATCCTAGACCCTTGCATTTCTTCTTGAACACCCTCTCCATCATATACATCCTCAACTCCTCTAGCATGGTGATAATTGGTTTCTTCCTAGCATCAACAATCACAACATTAAAACTTTCTGACATTCGATTCTCCACAACATCACAACATCTTCTTGGTTGGAAGTAGGCCCTTGACCATGTTTTGGGGTCTTTGTCCATCAGATACTGATGAGCACTTAGGTCTAGCACTTCAAGCTCTTTCATGGCAACCTTAAAATCTACCTCTGTTGTTGCTTTACATGCCTTCCAGAAAATGCTTTCATATTGAGCACCACTATACCTTTTCCTAAGGTTTTGGCTAATATGCTTGGCACACTGCCTATGCTCTACATAAGGAAGGAGTTCTTTCACAGCCTCATTCAAACCCTGTTAACAATATCTAAATATAGTGAATAAGGATGCAAATAGATAGGAAAATTAATTACAAACAACTAAATTACCTTGTGTTGATAAGATATTACACTGTATCCATAGCCCAAATTAAGTCCTAAGTCATCAATGAGTAAATCCAAAAACCACCTCCAATTTTCCTTATTCTCCACACATACTATTGCCCATGCAATAGGATAAATCCCATTGTTTGCATCCCTTCCAACAGCACATAATAACTCCCCTTTACAGACCCCTTTAAGGAAACAACCATCTAAACCTATTATTTTCCTGCATCCCTCCTTCCACCCCTTCTTCAATGCATCAAAGCAAACATAGAACTTACTAAAGCAGTTCTTCCCATCTGGCATATGATTTACATCAAGCTTCACAGTTCTACCTGGATTTGATCTCCTAATCTCTTCTGCATACGACCATAACTTTGCATAATGTTCAACTAGGGTGCCATCTATTAGTTGGAGTGCATATTTCTTAGCTCTCCTACATTGACCAACACTATCATGAATGCCAAACTTCTGTGACATAGTTGTTCTTAGCTTTCTAACACTCATCTTTTTTCTAAGTAACAACTCTCTTGTATAATGACTCCCTATCCAAGCATAAGTGATGATGGACCCTAACTTATAGTTCCTTGCACATTTGTGGACAGGCTTTAAAGACTTAATTTGGAAGCTTGCTTCATCACTCATCCAAGATGCCCACAACCTAAATGAGCACTCATCCTTGCAACACTTAACCAACAATCTTTTCCTATCATTTTTCTCAAAGAAAAGTTGGTACCAATTCGCAACAGCATAGTTGCATAACATCGATTTTAATTGAGATGGATCTTTGAACCTCATACCAAGTATTGGGATCTGCTTTTTCCATGGAACTAACTCATTAAAAATGGAATGTTGTTGAGTTACATTGGCATCCTCTTCATGCCCATCATGATCATTTATGTTGTTATTATTTCCCTCTTCATCTTCACCACATAATCTATTTAGAAATTCATCACCCTTTGTCCTATTCATAGTGACTATGTCCTCATTAAAGTCCACATCCACAACTGTTAGCCTATCAATTTCGTCCTCATTCACACCACCATCAATGCAAAAATCATCTCCATCCTCCTCTTCTATTTCAGAAGCAAACCAATCTTCTATTCCTTGACCATCATGGTCCACATACATACAAATTTTACCATCTGTCCCATATGGATGAAAAATGAAACCACCATAATCATCATCATTAGCGATAGCAGTTATCCCAGATATTAAGGGCTTACCTGGTTCACAATAGTATAACTTCTTTATACTTTCTTGCATGACCGTTTGAGAAATGTGATACATTCACCATATGTCATTCAAGAAAAATCGTGATCATTGAAAGTGAAATTGATACCATGGTTATACGAGAAAGGATTTCTAAGAAAAACACCTTTGAAGTTCAGCTCCACTATAGGGTAGAGTCCATCAGGGTTTGGCATCGAGATAGACATTGTGGGTTGGTTGACTGCTCATTGACTTCGATCGGAGAAAACGACTTCGAACCCTAGGTTTAGTGCTTCGTATTCACTGTAAGATGAGAAAAAGAAAGAATGAAGGAGGAGTGTTCTAGCTAAATAAATGTGTTTATTTTGACCTCCAAATCCTACATGGATAAAATAAATGAATTATATTATGTAAACTTATTCCACGTAAGCAATATCACCGGTTGTTCCGTTTACCGGGTGCATAAGGGCGTAATTAGCCGGTAGTTACTAACATTAAGGATCAATTGAGCACAAAAAAAAACTTAAGTGACTAAATATGCAAATTGACCAAACATTGATGTGCTACAGTGTCAAAAACCCATGTTTATACATTGAGGAAGTTAAAACACAATCATTTAAATATGTTTAATTACCATTTTTACAAAAGTGATAAGTAGAAAAAGGTCTTTAGTATCAAAATTAAGGATTATTTCATGCAAAGTTTCTAATAAAAGCCTAAGAATATGAACAACAATTACGAAACATACCAAATCATCTTTTAAAATTGATACATACATATATATATATATATATATATATATATATATATATATATATAACCATATACATATATATGTTTTGTTTACAAACTTGTCTTCTACATCGAAAATATACATATATATGTTTTGTTTACAAACTTGTCTTCTACATCGAAAATATACATATATATGTTTTGTTTACAAACTTGTCTGCTATATCAGAAATATAGATATATAGTTTACGAAACTCTACTCCATTTGTATCCTGTTCAGCGAAGGGTAAAATATTGTCAAATGCATATCTAAAGATTTCACGTCGTTTTTCATAGCTATCCCAGTCTTAGGGGATGATCATTTAAACGATCATTTTCACACTTAAATCTGTTTTATACTAAGTTTTGTGAGACATCAACCTCACGTACGTTCGAGTACGCATTTCAAGTCCTGTATTATATACCAGAATCCATTGGAGGGGGAGCATGGTGTTTGTGTATAGATCTATATAGGCTTCACAACCTGCGCGCTGACTGTTAGCTACAGTCCACCGTTTGTGGTGACAAACGTCAGAACATTCCAACGCCTGAAGAACGTTGTGTACAGGCATTTCTAGTCAATAGCATGTTTATAAAACTCACATGGAGTATTAAAAACACATTGATTTACGGGTTTTTTCAGATGTATTGGAAATTTTTTACGTACATACATTTTCTAGAAACAAAAATTGGTCTTGAAAGAAGGCTACATTTATGCTAGTAGAAAATATAGGATTTTCTAGGAACAAACAAACAAGAACAAAACCTTTCATTTCATACAAACATTGTCATTTAATACTTATGAAACTCACCAGCTTAAATGCTGATCTACTCTTTCAAAACTACTTGTATGTCCCAGGGATTCAGTAAGTACATGTAACAAACAGGTTTTGAAGAAGGGATGCTGTGGTGCCAGTTTAAATTCATATTTTGGCATCATATTGTAATTGGTTTTGAACATGTGCCTTTTAACAATGTAAACTTTTAATTATATATATGATGGTTGTATTGCTTTCCTTACTATGTATTCATTTGTTATGTTACCACATGAAGTCATCCGCCCCCGAACGTTTCTGGCGTTCCGGTTTGGGGGTGTGACAGATTGGTATCAGAGCATTGTTTATAGTGATCTAAGTATATCAAACCACATAAGATATACAAACAATAAATACATAGGGATTAAAACTCTCTGACTTAACAATTTCAAAACAGGAACATTAGGGGTCCTTTGCTGTTAAGTCTATGTTTGCTAAGTGTATACGTTAAGGTGGTATATACTAAAAGTTTTATAGACTTAGAATATGTGATTTTCACTTTACTTCCTTTTCCTTGTTTGGATGTGGATATAAGGTAAGATCAGTTATTCGACTAACTATTTAATCTTGACTGTATATATGACCTGTATACACAAGGCAACCATAGATGGACCAGGAATGGATTGAGATTTCACGAAAATGTAAGTACATACAAACATACTAGTAAGGAGTCATATTGGCAACAAAACAAAAAGTATTAAGATATGTTAAACACTGCGAGTAAGCCTCAGGGTATGTAATCATGTTTGGGATGAATATAGCCTGATCAACTATATTTATCCAAGAGGTGACCAAAGTATGCCAAGGAATGGTCGTAGTGGATGACGAGTCTAAAACTTACCAGCAAACCATACAATGAAAACTTTAACATACAAATTTAAAATACTATATGAGTATTTTGAGTTACAATAGAACCACACACTTAGATTCTTCATATGCTTCTTACCCCTGTTCTCGCATAGGCATATCAGCTAGACTTCATCTCCACATAGACCCATACTATCCTGCCACCGAAGCCAACATATGGATCGAGAAAGATCCAGAAGAAGATTTCGAAGAGTACCAATAGATGAAATACGAGGAAGAAGATTTCCGAGAAGGGACCAGATGGAGAAAGAAGTTAGGGAGATGCCATCAATAAACCTTACCCTATCAAGAGGAGTGTGAGAACCTCCACCTCTCATTTAAGGAAGCAACCCGCAGTTAACTACCTAGCCACACATATAGACTGGAGAGGACAACCGATGATCGATAACCGACATAAACTCACTGCACTGTACTTCGGGCCATAGCACCCATAGACCGGCAAGCACATCAAGAGAACAATACAGATCACCTACACTCCTTAGAAAAGGAGATAGTCGTATTAGGACAAAGAACCCTTACAGCTACAACCTAGACAACCATCACAGAACTGAGAACAGAGGAGTCCACTCGTGAAATAGAATCATGCCGACACATGAAGGTAATTAGCATACTGGTGCAACACTAGTTCTATAAATAGACCCTACAACATTTCAAATTGCTGTAACAGCCGCCGTGACAACATTCATGGCACACTTCGGCGCTAACAACACAATCAAAAGCGGGAACGACACCGAAAGTTCTAATCGTAATAACTACCAGGGACACCCTGAGTAGGTTCCAGCACCGACGCCCCAAATCAAGAACCTACCAAAAGACAACAAACAGTGACATTCTATACCACCACCATCCCTACTACCTCAGTGCCGACAAGACCATATGTTTGAAACCTGCCAAAAAGCACCAAGTGTAGCTTTCATCACAAAGGAAAGTGCAGGGAAATGCACTGCAAGAAATGTAATGAAAAGGGGCATACCTTGTCAATAGTATGGTTATAAAACTCACATAGAGTATTAAAAACAAAATGATTTATGGGGTTTTTCAGATGTATTGGAAATATTATACGTACATACATTTAGTAGAAACAAACATTGATCTTGAAAGAAGGCTACATTCATACTAGTAGAAAATATACGATTTTCTTGGAACAAGTAAACAAGGAACAAAAACATTTCATTTCTAAAAACATTGTCATTAAATACTTATGAAACTCACCAGCTTAAATGTTGATCTACTCTTTCAAAACTACTTGTATGTCCCAGGGATTCAGTAATTACAGGTAACAAACAGGTTTTGGAGAAGGGACGCTGCGGCGCCAGTTTAATTTCATATTTTGGACATCATATTGTAATTGATTTTGAACATGTACACTTTTAAACAATGTAAACTTTCAATTATACATATGATGGTTGTATTGCTTTCTTTACTATGTATTCAATTGTTACGTTACCACATGAAGTCACTCGCCCCCGAATATTTCCGCCGTTTCGGTTTGGGGGTGTGACAGATTGGGATCAGAGCAATGTTTATAGTGAACTAAGTATATCGAACCTCATAAGATATACAAACTATAAAGGCTTAAGGAATCAAAGTCTCTGACAAAAGTTTTCGTACCTAAAATCCTTATTTCATATAAATAGATTATTTTAGGTTATGAAAATCCAAAATACATGCATACAACAACACATTTTTATGATAAGAACTATACAAAAGTATTAAGACAAGTTGGACACTACCGTTAGTTCTCGAGATATGTAATCGAATTTGGGACGAATATAACCTGATCAACTATGTTTATCCGATATTAGACTAACGTATATATCGAGAAATGATCGTGGTGAGCAACAAGTCAAAACTTAACAAAATAGACACTAGAATCTAACATACAATATAAATACTATAGGAGTATTTGGTGCATACAATAGATTAATTAGTATTACATGTCTCAGGTTTTGTTCAAATCTTATAACCCAATTCTCGTATAGTCAAATGGTTGGATTTCACCCGCATGGAGACCCCTACTACCCAAACCAAGGCAACGGAGGATGGATTGAGGAGGATCCGGAAGAGGATGATTAGCCTATCGAATTGGATGGAGGAGACGACTCCGGTTCAGACTCGGAACCAGAGATAATCAACCCTCTAGCCATTAGGAGGAACTTCCAATGGATACGCTCTCCCTACAGTATGTGTCGAGGCTTCTACGACATCATGGATGGAGGTTCAGCCGACCGAGCACTTCCGGTGATGGTAGGAAAACTGGCCAACCAGTCCTACCAATCGGGGGTTCAAGCAAACCGAATCCGAGAGGTCAACGTGGAGGTACAAGTCCACACGGCCGATATCCGCCGCCTGGATATGTTGCAGAATGACATCCACCTCCGCGCCGAAGCATTCCAAGCACAAACAAATGCAGCCCTCGCAGAGTTGAGAGAACAACAAGCCACCTTTGAGAGGCGTCTTATGGAGTCGAAACAATCGGATGCGGAGTCGAGCTCCAAGCTCAACACATGTCGCAAGTAGTACTTGCGAAAACCTCAAAGTTTGTTGTAAGATACGACTTCGGCTACAAGTTTTTACTTCCTTTAAATTCTTGTAATCGGAGACCCTTTTAAGGGTAAAATTTTCGTGATCGTTGTATCATCTATCATATTAATATAATTCGCACACTATTACTACTACGTTGAGTATCGCGTTCAATCTTTAAAATATTCTGGAAAAACCATACGCTTGTTCATATATTCGGATTTACGAATAACCTTTTCTCTTCTATCCGT